CGCCCCCGCCGTGGGGAAATGCAGCTGTGTTGGGGGGGAGCAGCCCCGCCACGTGGGGAAATGCAGCCATGTCTGGGGTGGAGCACCCCCCCCAGGGGTAATGCAGCCGTGTCTGGGGTGGAGCAGCCCCCTAGGGGGAAATGCAGCCATGTCTGGGGTGGAGCAGCCCCCCAGGGGGAAATGCAGCCATGTCTGGGGTGGAGCACGCCCCCCCCCCGGGGAAATGCAGCCATGTCTGGGGTGGAGCAGTGGCAGCTAAGAGCAGGCACGGTCCTGGTGCAGAAGCCAAGGGTGAAGGGGTTTAATGGAGACCCCAAAACTCTGTGCACGGGGGGAGTTGCCACCTCTGTCTCAGCCCCCCCAAGCTGCTTCGGTGGGCATGCATGGCGCAATCCTCTTCCCCGTGAGCAGGGAGAGGTTGGGTGGGGGCGCAGGGCTGGGAAGCAGGACATCTGGGCTCCCCCTGGCTGGGCCACAGGTGGGCTAGTCTTCACCCCCTGGTCTCGGTCTTCATCCTCCGGTTTCAGTTCTCTTTGCTCCAGTGGGGATGACAGTCCACCCCGCATCAGTCCTGTCCAGCTCAACGTTGCCCCACCTTGGGGATTTGTACAGTACCTGGCGCAGTGGGCCCCATCTCTGTTGAGCCTGTACTGTGTCTGGGACAGACTCAGACTCGGTGCTAGAGTAAAAAACCCCCATGGCCAGACCTTTCCCTTGCCCAGAAGCTCCCAGCTGGTTTCCTCCCCCCACTGCTTCCCCTGGGGCTCAGAGCCGGCTGGGAGCACTGAGCTGAGGGCCTGTGACAGGCATGGAAGCCCGTGGCACAGAGCTGCCCAGAGCCCAAAGCAGCTTATGATGAAGCACAAGCTGGGAAGCCTGATGGGGCTGACACAGCTGCATCGAATCAGCCGTATTTAAGCCTCGGCTTCTTCCTTTCGGCCTGGAGGACTTTGCTTTGGTCCTTAGTGGGACGAGCCCACTGCACTCCATCCTCCGACTCATTAACAGCCTCCACTTTTGGGCCCTGCACTTCCAGAAGGACATGGAAAGAGTCCAATGATTAGGGACCTGGGAGCAAGATGGATTAGGACAGCCTGGAAGAGCTCAGGGGACTGAGTCTGGGGAAGAGAAAGCTGCCGAGGGGGATTGCTAACAGTCTGCAAATACTCGACAGAGAGGGCAGAGATGGGCTTTTCTCTGTGGCCGCAGGGGACAGGACTAGGAGCAATGGCCTCAAGCTGCAGCAGGGGAAACTGAGGCTGGAGACATGCAGGGACTTTCTGGCTAGGAGGGTGGTTGAGCAGTCTCCATCCTGGGAAGCCTCCAAGAGCAGGCTGGACAGACACATGGCTGGGGTGGTTTGGTCAGGGCTGATCCTGCCTGGAGCAGGGGCCTGGGCTAGATGTGATGTCACAAAGTCCCTTCCAGCCCCACTTCCTTCTGATCCCCAAAATAGGGGGCTGCCCTGCATGCCCTCTGGCCACTACTATGCCAGGACTGGCCGGCGTGGTGAATGCTGCTGACACTTGGATGAGACTCTGCCTGGCTGACTGTCCCTCCACGGGGAAACCACATGGGGTTGAGGTGCCTGGAGTGCAATCAGCCTGTTGCACCCCTGAAATGCCACCTGAGACGCAGGGGCAACTCCTCACAGAAATCACAGAGCCGTGAGGCTTGGAGGGACCCAGGGAGGTCTCATCTAGTCCAACCCCCTGCCTGAGGCAGGATCAGCTCTGCCCAAACCATCGCAGACAAACCTATCGTCTCAACTCTTCATAAAATTACTGTCAATTCTGACATAGCACCAGGCATCACTCCTGACCCTGTCACAGGTAAAGGAGTTGGACCGCGATGGCCATCGTCTTGCTGCAGCCAAGGATGTCAATACACGCTCGAGAGAGATGCCAGGTAGAGGCTGTGCCCCCGCTACAAGGGTGAGATCCCCCCTGGTAACAGCATTTTCTTCAATGTGAGGCTCTGCTAGGGGATGGTGAAGGTAGGGCTGCATGTGTGAGCAGGCTGGACTCCCTTGCTGCTGCTACTGGCCCTTGCTACACGTAACATGCAATACGCTCTTCACCGGTCAATTGTGCAAAGTAGACCAAACACACACAAAGTAAAACCGGCCACACGTGAAAAGACCAGCCACATGTACGGTTATAATCATACAATTGGTTAACTGGCAATAATGTAAACCAGCCACACATGCGAAGTAATTCTCACGTGATAAAAATGACTATCCCACTACAAAGAGAGTCAACCCGCAATGAAGTTAGTGCTTGAATAGGTGTAACAACTGTAGAGCTTGTTTCTATTTGGCTGTCAAGGCCCTCAGTCACCGACTGCTCCTTCAAAGTACTTTCAAAGGGAAGAGCTTTTATGTTCCTCCTTCGTTCTACCGTGGCATCTTACCGGGTGGGAGTGTTGTAAGTGGGAAGATACGGTACACAGCCGAGCCAAGCTTCTTGGTAAACTAGTTTATTGCAAAGAGCAAATAAAACCGAACACGGCCCAATACAACTGCTCCTTAAAAGGTGCATTGGGAACACTGCTGGTGTCTTTTTTTTCCTTTAAAACCTTTGCCAGGAAACAGAACCCGGGCGACGAACCAGGACACAAAGAAATAGAACGTACCAGGAGCTGAATTAAATTAAAGCAAATCTAAAAACCTCTCTCACAACTTGGGGGTTTTTTCCTCTTTCTTTTCTTCTTTTTATTTTTTTTTGATCTATTAAAAAAAAATTACAACTTTCAAATATTTACAAACCCTGTCAAGACATTTAAATATGTAAAAGGATATTAAAACAGTCAAGCAGAGGGGGAGAAGGGGGAGCTGGGAGTTGCGTGTGCTTCAGTAGTGGGGGAAATGACACCCCGATCACCTTAACTTTGCCCATCTGCAGTGATTCGCAGCACACTGAAATGACATGAGGTGCAAGACAAGCTAGGGGTGAGTGCAAAGGGGAGGGGATGGGGGACACAAGCCGCGGCCTCTCCGGTGACCTGTGTGTCTAGATGGCTTCTCCAGAAGGCACCCGGAGGCTGACAAGGTCTGATTGTCTGCTGTGAGGCTGGAAGCCCCGGATGGCCCCCATCCTGATGCTCTCTGCGGCTTGGCAGGGGCCTGACCATTGTCACTCAACCCCCTGGGATTCAAACAGTGCAAGGGTCCAAAGTGCTAAGAGAGAGGAGGGCGTGGGGAGCTCTGGGCTGACACCTCCCATCTCCTTCCCACCCGTTTTGCTCCATAGGGGGACCAGGCCATACATGGTTGGAGACTGACAGAGCAGAAGTAGAAGCAGAAGCCTCGTCTCTGCCAGGCCTGAATGGTTTAGGAGCCTCAATGTCACCTTCAAGGGGGGCTCAGGTGCTTGGGAGCCCTGCAGGGCTGGTTTGCAAGAGGATTTAGATGCCCGGTACCCACTGCATGAAATGGGAGTCTAAATCCCTTGGCAAACCCTGCCCTGAGGGAGGAGATTTGGACTCCCAGGTGCCCATGGAGCCTCCAGCAACTCTCAGGTAGCTTTGAGCATGTTGGCTGCAGCAAAGTGCCCTGTGTGCATGTGTATATATCTGTGCATGCACATGTGTGTGCACCAGCCAGTGTCAGGGGCCTGTTCTCAGAGGGGGCTCAGTGCTCTCTGTTCCTCCTGCCTGGGTGGAATATAGGAACCTGGTCCCAGGGACTGGAGGGGTCCCGCTAGGGTATCAGCTCTGCCCCCTGCCCTGGCAGGCTTCGCATCCCAGTCATGAACTCATCAACAACCAGGCTAAAGAGGCCCCACATCTCTGGCCATAGGGCCTATGGGTCCCCCATGCTCTCTCCTGCCATGGGGACAGTGCCAGTATTTCAACCAGAGCCTGGAACCAGCTCTCAGGGTGGAAAGAAAGATTCCCCTTCCCTCCCCTGAGCTGCGTCTCTGAGCTGGAAGCGGGATGAGAACCAAGATCTTGGTGGGCAACGCTGCAACCAGCAGAAGGCTACTCAATCTCCTAGGTGCTCAGGGAGGCAGGATAACGCTGATCTACGCTACCCCAGGGCAGATTTGAACTCAGGCCCCTAAAAGCAGGGGCTGGGAAGCAGGGACCCCGTTGGCCTCTGCCAGGGCTCGTGTCTGTCCGGCTGTACATTTTGAACCAAAATAAACCTGTTCTCCCCCCGCTTTGGTCACAGCATTGTCATTTTCTCCCCCTTGAAAAAGCCCCCAAACGAATCCTTGCTATCCCAGTCACTGGCTTAAAAATGACAGAGGGTTTTTTTCCTCTTCCAATGAGGAAGTTGCACTGGGAAATTCAGGATGCAAAAAACATTTTTCCACCCAGAAAATGTCCTGCTATAAACGAGACAGAGACTGACTGAGCTGGTGGAGGAGCTGCCTTGAGGCCTGTTCCCACAGCTCCCAGCACCAAGAGCTTCCCGTCCCATGCCGACACCCAAAGAGGGGTGGGCTGGGCACAGGGCCTGATGCATGGGGCTGGCACACAAGGCAACTTTGGCTGAGTGTATGGAGACTGCCTGCCTGTGCTGCTTGGAAGTCAGGGGAGGCTCCCGGCACTGTGTGGGGAACATCGAGGTTTGGCTTGGACCGCTCCGACCAGGTGCCAGGAGCTGTATGAAAGCATCGTATTGACCCCTTGTACACAAGCAGCCTGATCAGTCCCCCCTCCCCCCGGGCCAGGCTCCCTTGCAAAAATAGCATCTTTTATATTACTTTATACAATATATATATATATATCTAGATAGACCTTACTAAGCATACAAACACCTGCTGGCCTTGAAACACTGACAGTAAAGTCAGGAGGTGGGGAGGAGAAGGAGAGACTGCTCCCCCCGCCCCAAACCTCCTAGGTAAGGAGATGCTTGGCTAAGATAGGCCCCCAGCCCCCAGTAGAGGCTTCTGCTATGTACAGCACCGAGCACGCGCCAGCTGGGGACCAGGTCCTGTCCTGGGGCTGTGAGGATGGGGTGTTCGCCTCAGCCAGAAGGAGCTGATTTTGTGGGGGCCCCTCAAAGTGCATCGTGAGCGTCCTTCAGCGCAGTGAGGTAGGGAATGCCCCTCTTTTCCTGCTTCTGAGGCCCAGAACGAAGGGAACTGATTCGATGGGGGCAGAACCCAGGCGTCCAGCCCCCATCCCCTGGCTGGAGCAGGGCCAAGCCTTGCTGGATGCTGGTCACTCGGCCACCAGGCCCTGCGGCTCACCCTCGGCGCTGAAGAGCTCCTTGTAGAGCGGGGGGAACACGGCGTGGACCACGATTGGGTGCATCTGCCGGAAGGAGCGCAGCTTCTCCATGTGCTGGCAGCACAGGCTGCGCAGCTTGCCCTTGGGCGGCAGCTGTGGGGAAGGACATGCTGTGAGCACAGGGTGCCATGTGTGTCAACCCCCACCCCTCCTCCCCATACACACAAGGGATGAGGCTGCTTCCTGGCCCGTGGGAGGGTGAGGCCAGGGGTCACATGTGTGAGGCCACCTGCCCTGGGCACATCTTTGGCAGCTCTGGGGGCATGCCCAAAGCATGTTACACACGTGCATACACACACACAAACACGCGCACCCGCGTGTGTGCAGGATGGCACTTTGCTGCCCCCCTGCTGGGCAGAATCAAAAGTGTGAAGGGGTGTGTATGCATGTGAGAGAGAAAGCTAGGAAGAATGGGGGTGTGTAAGTGTGTGTGCACACATCCCTCCTTCCCATATGTGAACCTTCCACCACCCCCTGCTGGGCAGTGTCAGGGAGCATGTACATGTGACAGCTGGTAAAAGAGTGCGTGTGCATGGTAAGGATCGTGTGTGTGTGTGTACACACACGTGTGTATGTTCTTTGTTGCCCGCCTACTAAGCAGAACTGGGGAAGGGGCAGTATGTGTGAGAGCTGGAAAGGGTCAGATAGGGATGTGTGTGGGCACGCATGTGCACATATGTGTGTGCATGTGCACATGTGTACATCCCCACCTCGTGTGCACCTTCCACTGCCTCCTGCTGGGCAGAACCAGGCCCATGTCTGCCTGATCATAATCCTCCAGGCACAGATGCTCTGGTAACACGTCACATTTCCCAGAGCCTCGTCTGGGCCTGGCCCCCCTGCCCCACCCAGGGCCACACAGCTGCAGCCCCCCCAGGCGGGTATGCCCATGAGCAGGTACGTCCCTGTCAGCAAGAGACCCATAGGGAAAGCATGTAGCCAGGGCACTGGGGCTTCCCCAACAGAGAGGAGCTGGGGCTGGGGAGCCCTGAGACAGCCTGGAAAGGAGACCCAGCCCCTGTTGGGGGCAGGGGGCACCTACCTTGGCCAGGAGGCCCTCACGGTGGCTCTTGCGCAGCATGTGTTTGAAGGCCAGCTCCAGATTGTCCTGCAGCCGCTCCACCTTGCCCTTCTCCTGCAGCCATGGGCGGTCTGGGGGCAAGAGAAGGCTCTGAATGGGGAGCTCGGGGGCAGCACCTCTGCTCGGGCTAGCCCCCCAAACACCCAGGGTCCAGAGGGGTCTAGATGGACCAGCCTGTGCCCTTCTACCTCCATTGCTCCTGTACAGAGGAGGTCACTGTCCCTATCCTCACTTCACAGAAGAAAACTGAGGCCCAGTCTGGCCCAATGATGGGAGCTGGCACCCCACAGGCCAGGGTGGAGCTGGGAACCTGGGTGTCCTGGGTGCCAGGCCATTGCTCAGGCACTTCCAGGCCTACCTGCCTGGCCCCTCACTGCAGCCTTTGGTCTCCTGTGCACAGCAGGGCTGAAGGGGAGCAGGGGGGAAGCCCCATGCCCTGCAGTCCATGCTTCACCCAGAGCCAATGTTTTCCATGGAGTCCTCCCCCCAGGTCAGCTCTTGACCAACTCAATTGTGGGAGTTCAGCCACTAGCTGCAGGGACCCCCCCAGCTCCCTACTAACACACACACACACACACACACACACACACACACACACACACAAACAGGCACGCACATACAAACAGGCACACATGCACAGAAACACACACATGCAAACACAAGCACAGACACGGACATATGGAAAAACACACAAGCAAATGCGCGCACACACGCACACAGAGGCACACATCCACATGTAGACATATGATGGACGTGGGGCCCTGGAGGCAGACAGGCCATGGGGCACAGGGGATGGGGGCGTCTCTCACTGGCGTTGATGAGCACGAGGGCAGTGAAGAGCGCGATCTCGTTCTCAGTGAAGTGCAGGGAGCAGAGCCCATGTGCGAAGTCGAAGATGGAGTTGATCAGCTCGTTGCAGCCTGGGGGGAGCAGAGCTGTCAGGCCCTGGTGCAACCCCCAGCCCACCCCCCCTCCATGGGCCTCGGTGAGATCTCCCTGAGCCATGTGGCCTCAGGACCCTGACAGGACCCACCCTGGGCTCAGACCCCAGGGCCCCCATCCCTGGGGGGGAAGGGGCTGACCGGACGGAGACCTGAGGCTGCAGCGAGCTCTGCCTTCCTTTCTCTCCACACTCCCCCATGTAAGACCCCATAGGGGCAGCACTCACGCTGAATCCAGACCCGACTGGGGGTCACCTGCCTCAATCCCAGCCAGTGGGGCCAGCGCTGCAGCAGGGCTCCCACGTGACCCCCCCAACCCAGCCACCTCCACAGGGCCTGGGAGGGACCGTGCGGCCTCTCTCCAGAGTGCAGTGCTGGCAGAGAAGGAGAGGCATGCGCCAGCCAGGCACAGAGCTGCCATGGCAGGAAGCCTGGACTGCAGACAGCCCCAGGGATGGGGGCAGAGAGATGCACCTCCTAGCTGCTGGCTCCAATCCCGAGGCACCCAGGGGGTCACCAGAGGGCACTGGCAAGGCTGTGGGAAGTGGGGGGGCTGTTCCCAGAGTCAGCAGCTCCAGCCTAGGGCTTGTGGGGTCCTGCTGCAGGCCCCTCCATTGCCCCCACCTGCCCCAGCTCCATAAGCAGCCCCGCACCCCTCACTCAGCCGTACCAAGGGACTTGAAGAGCTCCGGGCCAGCGTATTTGCCCTCGAAGAAGACCGTCCTGTTCTCCGAGTTGAAGGCACGGCACATCCTCACCAGCACCACTTCCATGGCGCCTACGAGACAGGACTGGGGCTGAGGCCACAGCACAGAGAGCCAGGAAGGGGGGTAGGGACAGGGATGTGGCTGCCTTGACCCCAAGTGGCTGGATCGGGGCCATGAGCACACCAGGAGCTGCACACAGGCCTGAGGTTTCACCAAACAGCTCCTTGTGGCTCTGAGACCTGTCGCCATGTTCCAGCTCCCACCCAGGGCCCTCACAGTCTCAGGTCAACACTGCTATGGCCTATGGACCCCCTGGGATCTCCTCTCACTTGAGGGCCTACCCCATGGGGAGGCCGGGGAGAAGGGGGGTGGGCAGGCTGGGCCAGGTACCTGCTTTGAGCAGCACGATCTGGTCATTTTGGCACAGCTCCATGAAGCCGCCCATGCGCTTGGCAAACTCCACCACGTACTGGATGGCCTCGGTGATGCGGCAGGCGCAGCGCTCCCACATCTCCTCCATGGACTGCAAGGGACCAGCTTGTCAGCCCACGGCTGAGGCCACCCCCCTGGAGCACAGGGACCCAGCCCCACACCTTGCAGCTGAGCTATAGTCCCCCACCCCACGTCTACCCTGTCAGGGCCTGGCATGCCCCTCACCCCAACAGCAGACCTCTCCGCTCCCCACTTTTGCTGCACCCCAGAGCCGACAGGCCGTGGCCCCTAGCACACCCCCAGAGCACGGCTCCCCTCTCCCGTGTGCCCTGCCTCACTTCCCTTTTCATGTGCTCCCCCCCACATAAATGCAGGGGTGATAGGCAGCCAGCCTGGCCAGAGCCAGGGCATCCAGGGGATGATTCCCCCTTGGAGTTCCATAGGGGATCTCCTATAGGACCCTGATCCCTTATAGGGCCCCATGCAGCTCAGGACTGGGGGAAAGCTTTGCCAACCCCTCATCCCAGAGAAGCGCACAGAACAGAGTCCTTTGCCAGCCCTGAACCCTGGCTCCTGTGCCCCTCAGGGTCCCTGGCCCTACAGGATGGCCCTACTCCCTGTTCCAGATGTTTTGGGGTGCTTGGGGTTCCTGATGCTGCCCCTTTAAGGCATAAGGGGGCTTATCCTGCAGCAGTCCGTACGGGGTCAGGCCATGACTGGGCAGTCAATTCAGGATGGGGGAGGAAGGAAACAAGCCTGGCTGCTTCAGCAGCTTGTTAAGGCAGCAGGGCATCATCCAGAGGGCACAGAGTGAGCCTGGATGGAGTCCTTGAGCCCCAGTGCAGGAAGGTGGCAGCACCCAGGGCATGAAGGGTTAACAGCCCCACTTCCTGGGGGCCCAGGGCGACTGGAAGTGGGGGGAACCTCAGGGCTGGGGGGCTATTTTGCCTTGAACAGATTGGGGGCAGTGTCTCGCACAGTTCCCCGTCCCCAACCCCACAGATGCCATCTCCCACAATGCACCAGGCTTCAGATAGCCACGATGCTTTGCTGCCCCTTGCCACAAGGGGTGAAGCTGGGGCTCCTTGGGGAGACATCACCCCGGCCGTGCAGGAGACGAGGAGCACGAGGCCCCAAGCTGCACTTCCTCAGCATGCCAGACACCCACTGTCCATTGGGTAGAGATGGGCTGAAAAAGCTGCATCTCCCACTGGGGAAACATCCCCCTGGTTCTCTCGCCAGAAGAGCCACAATCCTGGTGGGGCCTGACTCCCCTGGGATCTCAAAGGCCTGGACTGAGGTTGGCAGAGCAGGGGAAAGTAAGGCACGGAGCAATGACAGTGCCTGGCTACTGGGTCCTGGGGGTGGAGAGGAAGCCGTGGCTTGTGGCAGCCGTACCCGGGGCGGGGACACACAGCGGCTGAGAACCACAGGAGGTGGCCATGATGGCTGGGGGAGCACGTCTCTCCAGCCTTGGCTGTCCACACGAGAAACCCCAGGACACATCTCTGCCAGCTAGAAGGCCCTGTCCTGGCCTGCTGCGCTCGGTTGCACCTCCCAAACCCTCCACCAAAGTTGCAACCCCCTCCCAGGCTTCTCACCTTCTTCTGGTAGGTGCTGACCTCCTCCCGCGAGAAGGTCTCCCAGCGCAGGAGCTGCAGGTCCTCCAGGCGCAGCTGGCAGGTCTCGCGGTACGACTTGAGGACATTCTGGGTGAGGTGCTCTGTGGGGCAAGTGCAGGGGTGAGGGCACAGGCAGGGTAGGGGTCCTGGGGGTGACAGCAGCTGGGCAGGGCTAGCCCCTACTCCCACCTGCTGGGACCACAAACCCCCAGCATGGAGCAGACTCTTTCTGCAGTCCCTGACTCTATCGCTCAGTGCCACTCTGCCTGGCTCTTCATCTCAAGGCCCCTGGGAGCATGGGAGGCCCCTTTGCCCCCACAGGGGGGCTGCAGGGTGGAAGCTAAAAGCTCAGGACTCTTATCAGTGCCAGAGATGCAGCTCCCTTGGCAGCAGTAGCAAGTTGTTACCCCCACAATAAGTCAGCCACACTGGCAAAGCCACTGGTGTTCCAGCCCTCCCTGGGACTCAAACTTGTTCCCTCCAGAACAAAGGCAGGCTGAGCTTGCGGGCCGGGAGCTGCAGGGACCTTTGGACCCCCCATGCAGGGTGGGGGGACTCACCGATCTCAGTCACTGAGGAGTGGGGAGACTCCAAGATGCTGGTGAAGCTGGGGCTGGTGTAGAAGTCGACGGACTCCCCGGGGTTGCCGCTGCCCAGGCCCCGCTTGGCCCCTATGTCCAGCCTGGTGGGGTCGGGCGAGGCCTGGGCATCCGGCCCATAGAAGATGCTGCCCCGGGCATCCATCTTGATGCGCTCGGGGCTGTACTCCCTGGCAAAGGGGCCACGCGGGTCACCACCCAGCCGGCCGTGGGCCTTGGCCAGTCCGTTGGAGAAGGCCAGCGCTGGTGGTTCTTCGGGCACCCGGCCGAGCCGTGCCTGCTCAGCTAGGAGGGCACCAGGGCAGGCCGAGGCCTCCAGCAGGTCAGGGTCCGAGGCCAACTTAAGCTGCCCGTTGGCCAGGCCCAGGGCGTATGCAGAGGCCATGGCCGCCTCCCCACCCTGCTGCTGCTGCTGCTGCTGCAGTTGCTTCTGCACTTCAGCGTGGAGGCTGTCGCGCTGCTTCTTGGACATGCGCCCGAACTTGACGGCTGTGGGAGCGAGGCAAGGGCAGGGATGAGCAGGAGGGAAGAAGCCATGCCAAATCCACCCCCATCATGCCCAGCTCAGCCTGGCAGGGTCCTGGGTCTCCCTGGGAGAATCCTGGTGCCAGAGCACAGCTTCCGAGGCAAGGGCCAAGAGGGACAAGGCTGGGGCTTCTTGGGGAGATGTCATCTCAGGTTGACAGTAGCTTTGCTAAGAGTTTAGACTGTGGATGTACCTGGGCTGGTTTGCACAGGGCTGATCCTGCCTCAGGCAGGAGTTGGACTAGATGTGACCTCTGAAGCTACTTTGTCCTCTGCTGCGGGAGGGGGTGGGGAAGGCCTTACCATCCCGGGACATGCCGAGGCTGAGGCATTTCTGGAGGCGGCAGTGCTGGCAACGGTTGCGGCTGGTCCGGTCAATCTGGCAGTTCTGCTGGCGGGTGCAGGAGTAGGTGACATTGCCTTGCTGGCTCCTACGGAAAAAGCCCTGGAGAGAAGGGGGAACAAGAGAAAGTCCGTCAGCCAGGATCCACCTCCAGTGGTAGCTTTGGGGGGCACGGAGGCTGAGCAGCCCCAAAGGGAAGCAGGCAGAAGCCAGGGGTGGCTGGGATCACCCAGCCTCCATGGTGTCCCCACCCCTGGCACCCTGGGGAGGGGTGTTGGGTGTGGCTGGCCATGACCACAAAGGGCCGCAACAGGCACTCACCTTGCAGCCCTCACACGTGATGACGCCGTAATGAATCCCCGAGGACTTGTCCCCACAGATCTTGCACGGAATCACTTCGATTTGGGCTATGGGGAAGAAGAAATTGGGGTCGGGGGTGAGCAAAGACCATGGCACTGGGCGTCCACATGCACCCGTCTGGCCTTCTGCTGCCTAATGGTTGCAGAAGTGGAGACTGGACAGCCAGGACTCCTGGGTACTATTCCCAACTTTGGGATGGGAGCCTAGTGGTTAGAGCAGGGAAGGGGCACTGGAGCCAGGACTCCTGGGTTCTTTTGCACGTGCCCTTCCCCACCAGCCCCTGGCAGAAGTGCTGGCTGCTGCTTTTGGTTCCCCCACAAGGGGGGGCCCTCACCCAAACGACAGGCGTGTACCAGGTGGCAGGCCAGGAGCTTTGGGTCCAGATGGGGAAACTGAGGCACACAGTGTGTTGTATGGCAGGGCGATGCAGGGAAGAGGGTGGGGGCACAACTTGCCCAGCACAGAGCAAGGGAGGGGCTGAGCTGGGGAGTAAACCCAGGAGTCCTGGCTACCGTTCCCCTGACAGATCCCGTTCTCCTGCCGAAGCAGGGCATTGAAACCAGGCATCTGGGGATGCCTTGCCTGCTGCCCTAAGGTGCTTAAATGGCCCGTGTCAAAGCCACGCTCCTCTAGCATGGAAGCCAGGTGGGGCCCTGGGTCACAGAGCCAGGCTCTTGGCCCTGACATGGGGAGCAGAAGGTGCCCAGCATCCCTGGTACAAGAGACGCAGGGAGAGCAGGCATCTCCTGGAAGGCTGGCAGTGCCTGAGGGACTGGGCCTGCCAGGCAGACAAGGGGCATAAGTCTCTTCTGGGTGCCCAACTCCCACCCCCACCTGCCACACAGGGATTACAGCCTCATGGCATTTATGTAACCCAGGATCATCCCCTAATCCTGCCCACCTGCCCTGCCCCGGGGCCCTGCGCCCACCCGAGTGTACCTGGATCAGTCCCTGGACACATGCATACATCAGCAGGCACACGGCTCCATACACGCACATGCACCCAGGGAGGTCTACATGCAAGTGCAGGCATGTGACACCCCTGTGTGCACATGCATCCAGGCAGAGATGCATGTGTGTGCACATGACTTACAGCAGGCATGGGCAGGTCCACATGCCTGAGCATATACACACAGATAGGTCCACACGTCTGCACATGCCTGAGCACATGCCCGCACATGCATGTCCCCAAAAGTCAGCACACACATCCATACACCCACAAGGAGCCAGGGGCTTCTGGGAGCATCTGCATACACACATGCATGTGCTCGTGTGCATGCATACACACATGCACACACAGGTAACCTCATGCATGGGCACAAACACTCATGCATGCCTGCATATGCATATGCAACCACCCCCCAATCCCAGTGTGTTGATGGCACCGTGGTGATACCCGCACCATGGCCAGGCCACCCCATGCCCCTTCCACTCTGCAAAAGGGGCCAGGCCCAGCCTGAGTCTGGGTGTAGTGGGTTCAGGGGTGCCCACCACAGCACAGAGACAGTGGTGCCCAAAGAGCCAGCCTGACCTGGCCTAGACACAGGACCCATCGCCCAGGCCATGGCAGCGGGTTTGGGACAGGAAGTGAGGAGGCATCTCAGGATGCCAGGACTCAGCACAGCACTGGTGAGCCAGCCTGCAGGGGCAAAGGCCACGGGACTCAAGAGTCGGTGTGCCAGCTCCCCACCTCATCATAACCACCGACACCACCTGCCACCCTGAGCTGGCCAGGACTCCTAGGTTTGTGCCCAGCTCTGGGCAGGAGGTGGTGTTGAGTGGTTAGAGCAGGGGGTGGCTGGGAACCCGGATACCGGACACCTGGCTTCCATCCCTGTGGGCACAGGTGGCCTCAGTGGCTAGAGCGGGAGGGGTGGGGGGAGCTGGGACACCGGACTCCTGGGTTCCTTGTCCAGCTCTGGATGGGAGGTGGTGTACAGTGGTCAGATCAGGGGGTGGCTGGGAGCCAGGACTTTACCTAGGAGGAGCACAGCGAGGGGTCCTGCCATGCGGCATGACCAGCAGGAAGCTGCCCAAACCCCTGGCACCTCCGCCCACCTGACCACTTCGCTTCGGGAGCGGCCAAGGGAGCTGGGGAGCCTCGTACCCCTGAGGGTAGCCCCTAACCACATCCCTTCTGCCAGGCCCAACGGCCGCCTGCCCGGCCCAGCCCTGCCCTGGTTGGGGGCTGCCTGGCACCAGCCCAGCCCGCCGGGTGGTTTGCTCTTCCTCTCTTCAGCTTCCCTTATCAATGCACGCCCCCCTCGCAGCCCCCCCGGGGAATCGGAGCGCTTGTCTCCCATGTCCCTTGTCCCCCCCTGCAACCTCAGCAAGGCAGCAGCTTGAAAGCCACAACTGGGACACGGTCCCCAGCATGGCAGGAAGGCACAAGCCTGGCGGCCCACTCACCCCCACCCACCGCAAACAGGTGAGAAACCCTACCTGCAGGGACTGGTAAACAACCCCCACCACCCCGGCGGGCGCGCTGGCACGCAACCCACCCCCCAGCCCCTGCCATGGGGTGGTGGGAGCCCAGGGTGGGGGCAGGAAGGGGCTGTATCAGGCCTAGTCACTGCTGCTTTCAGGGCAGAGGAGCCAGGGGACAGATTCTGCCTGAACACAGCTGAGGGGGTCAGGGTACTGGCCCCGAGAGGAAGAGCTTGCCCAGATGCAAGCCAAAGAGGGATCGGAGGGGAGAGCCAGATGGAGAAAAGCTGCCTGGGTGGGTGTTGGCAGGCACTTGGGACCTCCCTGGAGCTGGCAAGGGTGCACAGCAAGGCCCTGTGCCTTGGTTTCCCTCCCCATGTAGCAGTGCCCTGCTGGCACAGGACAACGCGGGTGCTGGGGGCGAGCAGGGAGGTGCTAAGGCTGGGCGCTGCTGTGGAGCCACACGCTCAGAGCAGGAACCAAGGTGCTAGTACCCAGCGCTGCCACGGGGCTGGCCAGACTGGCTTCGTGCATGGGCTGCCCAGCAGGGACCCCAGAGGCAACTAGGCACTGGCGCAGCCATTCATGTCACACCACATGCACACGTGGTCTGTGCACGTGCACACTGTCCTGCTCCGCTGCTGGGCTGGAACGCAGCCCCACTGCTATCCCCCCATGGTGACGCTGTTTGACACACGTACACACACACACTCAAGTGTACAGACACTCATACATACTCAATCACTGCTAAAACACAGCCCCATTGCTATCCCCACCCAACCCTCTCCTTTGACACATACACACAGATGTGCACACACACGTACACACCAACACAAGCACAGCCCTCTCCTTTGACACACACACACAGATGTGCATGCACACATGTACACAAACACATGCACAGCCCTTTCCTTTAACAGACACACACACACACAGACATGCACATACACAACTACACACAAATACATGCACACCCCTTTCCTTTGACACACTTACTCACACACAGATACACATACACACACACATGTACAAGTGCCTCTGCTAGGCTAGAATGCAGCCCTACCCAGCCCTCTCCTTTGACATATATGTGCACTGACAGATGCACACATGCACGTACAACTGCACATGTACACACACATACACAGTCAAACACTGCTGCTAGGCTAGAACACAGCTCCATGGCTGTCTCCACCCAACCCTCTCCTTCAACATACAAACACACCCACATGCACCACAAATACACAAACACACATGTGCACACATACATCCACACACACACAATCCCACTCTGTCACTAGGCTAGAGTTCAGCCCCATGGCTAGCCCCACTTAACCCTCTCCTTTGACATACACACGCACCCACATGCACCACACACACACACACACACACACACGCACACATCAACACACACATGCACAATCCCAGTGTGTCACTGGGCTAGAGTTCAGCCCCATGCCTGTCCCCACCCAACCCTCTTCTTTGACACACACACGTACATGTGCACACTTGCATGCAAACACACAGCCAGCCCTGGGGAGCCCACCAAGACCAGATCCTCCCCCACCCCAGAACAAGGCGCAGCAGGATCGGAAAACGGAGCCACGTTTGCCTGCACGCCACGCCGGCTGCCACGAGAGAGACGAGCGTCGGCACCGGGAGCAGAGGGGCCCGAGCCAGCCGGCAGCCTGGCAGGGCAGGAAGGAAGCGCTGGGGTTATCCTTGTGCACACCTGGCACCCGCCTTTGTGGGAAACCGGATGCTGGTAAATTCCTGCGTTTCCTTCACAACAGCGGGGCTGGCGGGTTTGCGGGGAGAGCTTCACCCCCGTCCCACGCTCCAGTCCTCCCACGGCGCAGGCCCGCCGAGCCGCCAAACCGCAGCCTCCGACGGCTTCTCCGGTGGAGGAGTGAGGGAAGGAGGCAGTGAGAACAGAACGGGTGGGAATCGGGGCTGGGGGCTGACTCAGAACCTCAGGCCTCTGTTAGTCAAAAACAGCCCGATCCCGGGCGCCGGCTGCCAGTAACTCTCGCTTTCAGGTGATGCTTCATGCCAGTAAATTGCGACCTGAGAAAGGTCGTCGAGGTCTCGGGCGAATTCCCCCGGCCGGTCCCGCCGAGGGGCGTGATGCCCAGGGGGCGGCTGAGGAAGAGGAGGGCAACCAGAGCCCTCCCAAGAGGCAGCAACTGCTGCCCCCCAAATAAGCCGTCAAGGCAAAGCAAGGGCTGGAGAAGTGCAGCGCCGTGGACTGAGGGCATGGCGTCATGGAAGATGGGGCGAGAGGATGCTGAACCCCCCCTCACACACACCCCCGCCTGCCCCACGCAGCAGGCTCGCCTAGACCTATTTTTCCGAGCCCTTTACCGGCACAGCGGCGGGACGGAAACGGGGCAGGGCCAAGAAAGGCTGCATCACGAGGAGCAGGGCCTGGCGCCGGGCTCTGGGGTGCCGGCATAGCCTAATGGAGCCTGGTGCATCCCCACAGCCAGGGCCACGAAGGAGCACCGGGCTCCGAGGGGCTGGTGTGGCTTAGCAGAGCCTCACGTGTCCCCACAGCCGTAGGCCATGATGGAGTGCCAGGCTCTGAGGCAACGTCCCCGCCTGACATGGGGACATGTCAGGC